TTTTCTTTTCCCCCATCCTTCTAATGTTAGTCCCTCGCTTGGGTGATATGTATTTCCCTACTGGCTTTGTCATCTTTTTTTGGATTCACAATCCCCACTAATTCTTTGCTGTTTGTGAGCAACAAGTTGCGAAGATAATGGCCCCTAGTTGCCTCTGTTACCTAGATCAGTGGCTCTCAGCCTTTTTTGTACTGGGACCCATTTGTAAACACTGATGGCCAGTCCTAACCCAGTAAATAGTTTAAGTAGAAGACACACAAGTATTATGGCCTCAAAATATTTATTTCACTCTACAGGTTAAAGCAGTTCAACAGTCTTAATTTTGAAGAGAAAAATCAACATCAACAGGAAAACATTAACAGCAATAGCAACCCTCTCTCACTCCCAAGTAACATTTATCATTGTACAATTTGAACAAATACTGTAAACTGATCTGCTGGTGCCTCTCACTCCTGACCCAACCCTCCCGGCCCTGCTGGTGCCCTTCACTCCTGAACCACAGCTCCCCGCTGCCAGGCCCCAGCTCCCTAGTATGTGGGGCAGAGAGTGCGCATATGGGGTTCAGGTGGGGGGGTATGGGGGGCATATACCCCCACCCCAGATTTGTTCACCCACAATGGGCACTGCAACCTGGGTGGACTGGCATGGACAGGATCCACCTTTGCAATGCCCATGCTGCCTGCCATCCCGCCTCCCTTCCAGGGTAGAGCCATGGCCTGAGGGGAGTGGTGGCAGCAGCAGTGGTCTGGCCATGGTGGTGAAGTAGAGCTGTGGCCTGGTGCATGAGTGGCTGGCAACAGGAGGAGAGAGCAGTATGCTTCCTGCGCCCTGTCCATTACTTCTCGCACTGCTGATGGTGCAGCTGGCACTGGGTCCTGGCAGCGGCAGAACAAGTCCCTAACCCAGAGATTTTTAACAGGCCTATCTCCAGTTTCATACTGGAGCTCTGAGCAATCATATGGCTCTTTTACATAAAGTGCAACTCTTCCTCCTCTTCTCCCCTGCCCATCCTTCCTGAACAGTTTATACCCATCCTTCATGACAGCGTTCCAGTCATGTGAGTTATCTCACCAAGTTTCTGTTATTCCAATCGCATCATAGTTCAGTGACTGTGCAAGGACTTCCAGTTCTTCCTGCTTGTTTCCCAGGCTCCATGCATTTGTGTACAGGCACCTGAGGTAAGTAGCGATTTGCCCTAGTTTCTCAGAAAGAATGAGAACACCTCCTCTGTTGCCCACTCCTTCTTGTGCTTCCTCCAGGTCGCTTGTCTCCCTACTTACCTCAGAGTTTTGATCTCCATCCTCTGGTGGACCTAGCTTAAAGCCCTCTTCAATAGGTCAGAGAGTCTCTCTGTGAAGATGCCCTTCCCTTTCTTCATCAGGTGAAGCCTGTCTCCTCCTAGCAATCCTTCTTCTTGGAACATCATCCCATGGTCAAAGAAACCAGAGTCCTGCTGGTGACACCATCTGTGCAGCCATGTGTTGATCTACAGGATGCACCCACTCCCCTTGACAAGAAGAATCAAGGACCACCTGAGCCCCCATCCCCTTTACCCTTGCACCGAGAGCCCTGTAGTTACTTTTGATCTACCCAGGGTCTCCCCTGGTGGTATCATTGGTGCCCACATGAATGAGCAGCATGGGGTAGTAGTCAGAGGGCCAGATGAGTCTTGGTAATCCCACCGTGATATCTTGGTTTTGGGCTTCAGGCAAGCAGCAGATCTCCCAAAATGACAGGTCAGGCTAACAGATGGATGCCTCTGTCCCCTGCAGAAGGGAGTCTGCCAGTGGTGTATGTGGGTGGTCACTGCCTCCTGGTTGGTGCTCGCCACCCTCCACCCTGCCGCCGCCGACAGCGCCAGTGACGCCGGTGGCGTCTGTGGGAGCTCCCCACTTACCACCACCCATTGCTTCTTTTTGGTGGTGGTAGTCTTGATTCTTCTTACCATGGGGAGGCCTGGCCTATTCTCCTCCACCAGTTGAACATGCTTTTCCTCCAATGTTGCTAGGTCTCCATATCTATTCTCCAGGCAAACTGCTGGAGGTGGAAGTAAGGTAACTAGTAGGTTACCACCACCCTCCCACCACCGCTGACACTGCTGGTGGTGTTTGTGGGCAGTCAGTGATTGGTGCTGGCTGCTGTTGACATTGCCAGTGGTGTCTGTGGGTGGTCGCTGCCCCCTGGTCAGCGCTCGCCACCCTCCCTCCCTCCACTGCTGACAGTGCTGGCGGCATCTGTGGGAGCTCCCTGCTTACCACTGCCACACTCCCACCTCTGCCACCACACTCCCACCGTCGCCAGTGCAGCTGTGCCCCCTAGCCGCCGGGGGTATGTGTCATTCATGTCTGCAAGGGCAGGCAAGGCTTATTTAGAGGGCCAGGAGCCCAGCAGGGGCTGAGAGTGGGGTCCAGCTGGGGTGCAAGGGTGAAGAGAGTAGGGACCCAGGGATCCACAAGTCCCAGTCCTGGAAAGGGCTGGGTGTGTGATCAGAGAGTCCAGGGATACAAGCAGGGCTGAGAGAGTGAGACCCAAGAAGGTCCAAAGACAGGAGGAGTACTTGAATGTGGGCTCAGGGACAAGGCAAGGGCTGGATGAGGGTCCACAAGTCTGACAGGGGCTGCACAGGGGACTGGGGCCCTGGGAGCCCAGAGAGAGAATGGCTGTGCAGGATACAGGGGGGATCTGCGAGCCCAGAGAGAGGGGCTGTGAGCCAGACCAGGGGTCCAGGAGCCCCGAGAGGGCCAAATGTGAATCTGTGTGGGACCATGGGGGTCTGAGGGCCAAAAGGCGCCAAGTGTGTGGGACATGGTGTAGGAGGGGAACAGAGCCATGCAGTTTTCCCTTAAGGCTATGGGTGCCTTACAGGGGCGGATTCAGGCCAAGAGGGGCCTATCAGGCTTGAGGGCTGGATTGAGACTAGTGGGGTCCAGGAGAGACTTAGTGGGGAATTGCTAGGATTATGGCTCACTCTAAGTCCTATGGTTAGTCTCCCTTAATCAACCTTTAATAATAAGAACAAGGCATGGCAGGTGGGCAATTTGGGGAGAATGACAGAATCCAAGCTGGGCAGGAGCTGCAAGGTTACCAGGGATGTCCCGGCTGCCCTGTGGCCATGAGCCTTGTTATAATCCTCACAGTGGATGATAATGCTTTGGAGCCCTGCCACCTCCTCCTGTAGCTCTGTTGCCTATTTCCTGAGGGACATTTCACCAGGAGGCACCACTCCTATTGCAGGCACTCCCCCACCTGGCCATTGCTGAAAGAAGCCTTCAAGCTGCAGTGCCAGACCAGGACCTGGGTGGCAGCCTTGACAGTGAGTGGTTCTGCCATCTGGACAGACACCTCACAGGTGCAAGCAGAGGCAGTAGCAGTGGCTCTGGCACTGCAAAATCCTCCAGCCATTTCTCTGGGTCTCTTAATCTGCCACCTCTCTCTTGCTGCCCTTGTTCCAAGCAGATCTTTCCTAGCAAACTCATCTGTAAGCTGGCCTGTTTACTGCTCCTTGGTCCCAAAAGGTTCCTTTTCCCCTGCTTCCTCTCACCAAGCTTAAAGGCTCCCCTGCAAAGTGGAAGCGGGGGGAGGCAAACTGACCTGCAAACTGCTTCCCCTGTTTGCTGCCCCTGCTCACTTGCTTCAGGGGAGACACTTAATTTCCCCCATTGACCATGTTATGGTTCCTAGATGCCTAAACCTGGTTATGTTGGATGGATTTTTCTGGACTGAGGTACCTAGGTTTTAGATGTCGGTATTGCCAAACTTAAGTAATCTCTAAGAGCAAATTGGATCTGATCGTCCAGTTATCTGAATCATATCTCAGTCTGAAAAATTCAGTGTAATATTTTAGCTAGCAAGTGTATATTACAAGAAGGAGGGCAGAGGCAAGGCATAGGGGGTGCACGCAACAAGGCACTGCCAACATTGTTGGCGGCACCTACAGGCGGTCAGCGCTTGCCACCCTACCGCCGACACCACCGGTGGCATCTGTGGGCAGTCCACAATCCCCGCTGGCCGCCATTGATGCTGTTGGTGGCAGCTGCAGCTGGTCGCTGACCCTTGGTTGGTGCGTGCCACCCCCCGCCGGCGCCAGCAGCATCTGTGGGAGCTCCCCCACTTATCACCACCATGCTCCTGCTGCCGCCGCCATGCTCCCGCCACTGTCGTGCACCCCCAGCCTCCGGGGGCATGCGCCGTTCATGAAGGACGGTCTGATGGTTCTTGCCAGTGCCCCAAGGTTTGAGAAATTTGAGTCTGATCCCTTGTGCTTCAGCATCCTTCTGGTGTGATCTTGGGCCAGTTAGTGTCGGTCTGATTTCCCTATCTATACAAAAGGGAAAAGAATGACTAAAATTCCCCTTCTCACAAAGGGAAAATACATATATAATTCTGTAGCATTCAGTTTGGTAATGGGGCCATAGTTGTGTGATATCAGATGCACTACAGGACAGTTGGGATTAAACTGACATCCAATGGACTGCTTACTACACTGTAGATTACAACTAGGTCTGTGCTACAAAGTTCTGCCTACCTGGCTATATTAGATGGGACAGGGGGCGGGGAATCAGTCCTCCAGACATATCTGTGTCAGCAAGGAAGTGGCTCTGACATCTTACTTTGTGTCCTTTTAGGAAGGTAGTGTAACTCTGGTTAAAAAAGCTTCTTATGATGGCACATATCTTATGTCCGTGAAGGGGCTTTGCCAAAATGATCTATACCAGCATCATAGCTGTAATGATTTTCTAGCAGAGGTAGTCCTTACATGCCATGGAGAGAGGTACTGTTTTTGATTTGTTCTAAATGTATTTATTGGGTAAGTTAATAAGGTGGCCCCTTGTTCTTTTCTTACAAGACTGCTTAATTTTCTCTGGTCTTTCCAGGATCTATGGCCTATAGCAAAGATCCTCTTATATCTTCTTTTAGACCAGTTCATTGCTGTGAAAGGATGTGATATTCTGGTTTGTGTTATGATGTTGAAAATTTTTTTTTTTTCTGTATCATTTCAGGTTTCAGTTACTGCCCGAGATGATGTCCCCTTCTTTGGGCCCCCTCTGCCAAACTCAGCCTTGTTTAAAAAGGTTTGTATTTTTCTTATTGGCCCTATACAAGCGTGATACAGGGACCAGGGGTGAGATGCACAGCCTTTCTCCTCTACTTCATCATTTCCAATCTGGCTATGTATAGCTACAGGATTAGGGAATGGTTGTCCAAAGCCTCTCTCATTTTACTTTCCACGAACAACTCAGTCTTCTTCTTTTCCCACAGAGTGCAGAATTCCGCGAGTTCCTCTTGGCTAAACTCATCAATGCTGAGTACAGCTGCTACAGAGCTGAGAAGTTTGCCAAACTAGAGGTGGGCTTATGTACTTTTGTTTGAATTAGCATTTATTAAATGCAAATAAGAGAGTGCAGTAGTGCCATGTTAAGGGCTTACAATCAAAGTAGAAAACCCCAAGAAAATTCAAGGCCCCCTTTGAAGGAAATTGCTATATTTACTTGCATACTGAATGTACCTTTCCTTAAAACGTTAGTCCTTGAAAATTAGGGTACATATTTTAAGTAATGATTTCTTGCACTGGAATGGAAGCATGGAGAAGTAATGGCTGGGTTTTGGTGGGGGTTGTTTGTTTTGGTTTTTTCCTCTCCTCTCCTGGCCAACAAGCAGCAGTCCACTGTTCAGCCACAGCTAGTTTACCCTCTCACAGCTGCTGCTAAATTGGCAGTAGCATTTGTTTGAGCAGCAGAAAACTGCTGCCAATTTGGCAGTGAAAGGGTTACCTCTAGCTTTTGCCTGAGCAGGAAAGAGCGCACAAGTGAGCTGAAAAGTAGGCTCTCCCCATCATTCTTCAGATCAACTTTTGACCATAACCAGATAAAGCTTTTATTTTTCCTCACTCTGTCTTCCCAAAACAAAACATTTGTCTTACTTGTGGGGGGGTGGCATGCAAAAAAAATACAGTATCTGTGCCATATTAACTCAATTACATAGTGCATTCTTTGTCTTATAGAATACATGTTATAATGTAAATACTGCTCTATTAAAAATGCAGACTGAAACCCAGAAAAAGAATTGCAATATCATACACATATATGAAATGTCAGGATTCATGTTGCTGCTGGAACTTTAACATTTTTGTGAGCTACAACATTGTGTAGTGAAGATAACACTGCCTTAAGGTGCAGGAAGCTTGTATTCTACTCTTTCACTAGCCCTCTGTGTAGCTATAAATAATCAAGTCACTACCCCTTTCTGTCTTCGCTTTAAAAAAGACCTAACCTACTTTGTAAAGTGTGTTGAGACTTACTAATGAACAAATGCATCAGAGACAGATGTTATTACCAGGGATCCTGGTTTTCTCTGTTTAAAAATCCCAAATTCTCTAATAAAATCCCAAATTCTAATTGAACCCCCCATCTGCATTTTCCTGTAATTTAGAATGAAACACCACTTATATATAGGTATCAGTTTATAACAGAGCACCCTGTGCTCTGTTATTTGTAGGGGTGTAGTGGCAGGAACACGCAGTTCACAGCTGACTGCAATGCCAATCGGGTAGGGCTGCCTGATTGGGAACAGGGCCCAGCTGTTCCTTGTAAGAGTTGGTCCCTGAACAGCCTAGGAAGCAGTTTGCTGCTGCAGCCAAAGGAACAACACTTGGCTGAGCTGGTGCCCCTGGAATATCTTTGAGGGTAAGGAGTGGGGCTGTGGGAAAGAAGGAGGCCCTTGGGTATGACTGAAAACTGTACCCTGCTGGGGAAGGATGGCCTGGTGGAGCTAACTGTGGTGGGGTAGCTCCCCAGAAATGCCAGGCCAGTTGTCGTCCCAGTGAAAGGTGAGTATAGGGTGCCTTCTAACCCCAGCCCCGCATCCCTGGTGAGTGAGATCAAGCAAGAGAAGCCCAGACTCACCGAGAGGTGAGGAAGGGATCTGTGGCAGTGCCCAGACCCCCGGTGGAGATCTGAGGCTGCATATAGGAGCTAGAGTGAAGCTTCAGCAGGTGGGGCTCTGAGCCTTGGGGAGCTATCAATAAAGCTCCCAGGGCCAGGGATAAGGGGATCACCCAGTGAGGGCAGGGGGACAGGGCTTGGAGGCCGTGTGTGTGTGTGTGTGTGTGTGTGTGTGTGTGTGTGTCCATTCGTCCATCTGTCCGTCCCAGGGTGAGGGTGCTGGGACCACGAGCTCTGGTGGTGAATGTGTCCCAGTGAGACTGGAGCTTGGGTCCCAGTGTGAGCAACTGGAGAAACATCTGCAAGGCATGGGACATGATAAGGGAAGGTAGGAGTCATGTGTAAGGCCCTTGTCATCAGAGCATGCAAATGGGATAGCCTCCCACCTGATTAACACCGGATACATATTAACAAGGCAAGGTAAGGTGGGCGGTTTGCCCAAAGGCAAATAGGCAGGCCAGTGAGTGGACTGGCCCGGGACACCTCCTTGTTATGCAGTTGAACACAACGTTTTATTGATATATTTATGATTTTAAAGCCGTTTGGAAGCCTACCAGTGCCTCAGTCATTATAATAGCATGAATTCTAAATACCTATATATCTTGGCATTTGATTTTGTTTTTTTTATTATGGAAAATCAGAGCTCCTCCTACCCCCTTCACTCATCAGGACACAGGTCCAGCTATGGACTTACCTGGAGGGAGCTGCAGGAGCTACTCTCTACCACACTGCCTGGGTGCCATGTGTATGTGTGCACACACGTGCATG